AGTCAGGGCTCGCTTTGGTGGGGAAGATAGGAACATGCTTCCTTACAACAAGCAGCAGAACCACAGACGTGGTAGCTGGAAGGGACTTTACAACTTAACTTTGGCGTCTTCACTTTACAGAAAAGGGAATGTGGACTCCAATGACTTAGATGACAACAGAGGTCCGATGGGGGCCCACTGTCCTGACAACCAGTCTGCACTCTCCTAACTGCACCGCATGCCGCCTGCCTCTGTAGAAAGACATGATCCCAAAAGCAAGTGCAGAGAAAGTGAGGTTGGGGTGGGGGTGTAGCTCTCCCCTGTGGGGCCGGGTGGGCCCCGAGACCGTGCACCTCTTCAAGTGGAGAAGGGGTGTAATGACAGGTGGAGTGCTATGGGTTTCCAGGAGCGGCTGCTCTATCTGAGCCATCTTGGGCCATCTCACGGGCCCCTGTGGCAGGGTAGTTGGGAAGTGCCCAGGACTCCCCCACGTCACCCTGTCTCCCACAGACCTCTTCCAGGACCCCAGTGCCCTTGAGAATGAAGACATGGCTGGGAAACCTATTCATCTCTGGTCCCTAGGATGGCATGTGGTTTTACAGCTCGAATCCTGTCATATGGGAGATGTGGAGCCTTCATAATGGCCCTTTTGTAAGGAAAATACAATCTAGGAACCCTAGTGGGGACTGGCACTGGGCCCGTCCATTTCCAGAAAGTTCAGCATTATGCATTCATCAGTCCGGAGTTCTTTCTAACTTCCCTTCACCCCACCCACCGTTTCCTGGTTTACAGAGGGTCTGTCTGGGCATGGAGAAGGGTGGCCTCCTGGGCAGGAGCAAGGGAGGGACAGAGAAGGGAGTCTCTCTTTCCAACACCGCTCCCGCTGGGGAGAGGGATGAGGGAGGAGGGCCTGGGAACCGGCCACATGGGAACAAGGCACAGAGGTGGCCGGAGAGGGGGAAGGACCCGAGAGGGGACATTGTGGTCACTGCCCAGAGAAGGAGAACGTTGGTGCCTCCCAGAGTGCAGGTCTGGTCCATGGGATGCGCAGTGTCCGGTCGGAACAAGTTGGGAAATATTTCAGAAACTTTGGTGTTCTAAGAGTAGAGAGGACCAGATCTCCAAAGGAGTGTCCTCCACCTCCTCCTCAAAATAAGAGAAAACAGCAGAAACCACCGAGGCAGCAGTAATGACGGTGAGCACTGGTAGAGTGCTGTGCGCCAGTCCCTTCCTAGGAACGCACACCTACCCCTCCCCACCGCCTCACGAGGTAGGACTGTTCTTCCTAGTGGATGCTGAGGACGCGAAGCTCAGAGAGGTGGAGAAGACAGGGCCAAGCCAGCACTTGAACCCATGCAGGCCCTGGACGAGGAAACTGAGGTCCAGCGGAGTAAAGGTTTTTCAGATCCGCCCAGACAATCAGTACTGGAGTCATCATTAACAACCAGGGCCTGTCCTGTTGTTGTTATTGTTGTTGTTGTTGTTGTTGTCATTTTTATTGATTTCAGAGAGGAAGGGAGAGGGGGAGAGAGATAGAAACATCAATGATGAGAGAGAATCATGGATAGGCTGCCTCCTGCCCGCCCACTACTGGGGATGGAGCCTGCAACCCGGGCCTGTGCGCTTGACCGGGAATCGAACCCGGGACCCTTCAGTCCGCAGGCCGAGG